CACATCCCCAGTGGGGGATGTGCAGGAGACAGCTGATCGATGATTCTCTCTCATCGATGTTTCTAACTTTCTATCCCTCTCTCTTCTTCTCTAAAAAATCAAATATATATATATATATATATATATATATATATATATATATATATATATATATAAGCTTCTCCTCTTTTAAAAGTTACAACAAATAAAGGAAGTTTTTCTTACATTGGTATGGTGCCCCCTCTCCCAATTACAAAAATAACTCCTGCCTGTTACAGAAACTAGCATTCAGAGCTATACAACTGAAAAAGTGAACGCCTTCTGAGAAACCTGGTAATTGCCACTATTAATCATTTGAGAAACAAGAGTTGAAGTAGTTGAAAAGAAATGTCTATAATAATAAAAGCAGAATATACGAATCAGACTGGACAGCTGAACGATCTTACAGATGGCTTTCTGGATGAAGCTGGGCTGCAAGGAATGAGGCAAGCTGCCACGGCTGCAAGGGCTGAGCCCCTTGCATGAATTTCATGCATCGGGCCTCTAGTATCTAAATAAAAGGCTATTCGGAGGGTCTCACAAGTTCATGTAGAGATGGGGGGCGGGGGAGGAGGTTGATCAATGTCTAGTTCATTAATCTGGAAACTCAAAAGCCCAAAACTAGTCAAAGCTGAATTACCAGGTAGCTACGATAGTACCCAAGACCAACTACATAGCTTGGGGAGCTCGGTGCAAAAATGAAAATCTGAAGCCCTTTGTTCAAAAAGTATTAAAATTTCAAGTGGGCTGGAAGTGGTTAATGGGGGCGGGGGGGTGGGGAAGAACTTATTTAATACTTTCAACCATAAAGGTTTAAAAGAATTTCTAAATGGTGACGACAGAACATGGGCCCGTCTGAGCACGGGGTCTGTGTGACTGCACAGACACCCTCGAGATGCCGGCCCTGCCTACACATCCATTTACGTAACCATGTGGTTACCGAGGGCTTTCTTTGTGTTCTGAAGGCTTCAGACCCACCATATTTGACTTTGAGACCATGCATTATGTTTTCTAAAAATGCTCAGGTTTAAGCAATACACTGACAGGATGAGAAGAAGGCCAGGAAAAAAGTGTTGTAAAAACCAGTATATTTTTCCACTTGTTCTTGATTAAGTTATATGTTTTCTGATGTACTTTCCAGTTGAAATGAATTAGCTAAGCGGTTAGCATGGTAGAAATAAAAAACATTCAAGAATAAAACCTTAAGCTCTATTTCACATCCAAAAATCTACATCTGAGATTATTTACAACGTGAGTCGTTTCTTAGGATAAATTTTATAATACGTGTTTTTTTTCTTTTTTAATAACAAACAATGTGCTTCCTTCCCTTGTCCTCCAGTAAGTGTCACTACATAGAGCTCCCTTAAAAGTAAAGGAAAAGGAAACCTACCATTTGTCAGATCAAACTGTATAAAATTAAGAATTCTCTTTAGCGCCTTTAAAGTGCAACAGGTTCTTTTTATGACCAAAAAAAAAAAAAAAAAAGCTAAATAAAGTAGTCTCCTTAGAACCTCCCTGGGTCACTTAAATGTGTTTCTGTGTTTAACATGATCTGGGTTACGTATAAGAATAGCCTGATCTTTAACACATGAGAAGAATACCAAGGATTCCTTCTAAGCTGCTATAAAAGGCTTGCAAAAGCCAGCAAAAGGCCTGGACCACATTTCTTGGCAATTATCAGTATGAGGAGGAGGCAGAGAAAGAGAGGAAAGCGGCGGGCAGAAGGCCTTGCCGATAACCAAGCCTCTTCCATCGGAGAAACTGCTGCAGGATCTCTTCCCTCCGAAGCAAAGGACAGTGGCTTTTGTCCCCGAGGTTCAGCCTCTGACAGACAAGCTGATCACATCGCCCTGAAATCCCCCACCCGCACCGCCCCGGAGCGGCCAGAATCATTTTCCTTACCCAAGCCGGCATTCTGACGGACACATCTCAGAACCCGGGCAGTTTGTCCAAGTTTGCCTTGGGGTTCGACATAGTCACTCAATGCCATGCTGCTTAACCAGAACCGCTGCTTTTCCTGACGGAGGTCAGAGAGGATGAAAAGGGAGGCGACTCTAACTGGTCAGCCTGAGCTCTTCTCAGAGTCCAGGGCTAGCCCTCCTTCCTGATGGAGAAAGGAACACAGCTCACTTTTCTTTTAAATCCTCACTCGAGGATAAGTTGTTGATTTTTATGATTTGAGAGACAGAGGAGAGGGGCAGGGGGGATAGGAAGGGGGAGAGGGAGGGGGAGAGGGAGCACTGTCCCTAGTACTTGCCCTGACCAAGAATCAAATCTGCAACCTGGACATATGCCCTGACTGGGAATCAAACCCAGGACCCTTCAAGTGCACAGGACAATGCTCCAACCAACTGAACCACACTGGCCAGGGCCACAACTCACATTTCTTAAGACCCTTCTGCACGCCAGAACCAATTCCAGTCCCCCTGGGGAGATTATATTATTAACCCAACAAAAGCTTACCATTCTGCAGATAAGGAAGCTGACTATGGCTAGTAAGGTAATTTGCTCAATCATAGGGTAAGGCTGGGCTTCAAATTCAAGTCAACCAAACTTCCAAAACCAGTGCCGGCAAGGAGGGAGGGCTTTGTCTTCCAAAAGTTTAAAACCAAAATAAAGCCACTAAAAGTCTTTTCCTTTTCACCAAGCACCAGCGATTCTAAACAATATCAGTAAGAAGTTATTCCTCCTAGAAAACAAAAATATTTTGCTGGCTCAAGCGCTATACAATTCCTGCAGTGACTATTGTGTTTGAATGATAATATACATGTAAACTTCAAATCAGCATAATTGCATTACCAATCATTTGATAAGTATTATGTTGACATGAGGGGGTAATCTGAAGCACGCCTGGCTTTGACACATGCAAACTGAGACTTATACGGATATCAAAAATAAATCTGGAATGGGTTAGATTTGATTCCACTTCGGACACAGTTCCTGTGTCCGATCCCTGCGGTTCCATATTCTCCAATGTTGAAACAAATTGTTTTTTAAGTGATATCATAGTGATTGTAAAGCGAAGAAACAGAACTTATTTCCATGCAGCCACCCTGTCACCCCTTGGGCATTCTGTGTGTGTGGGTCAAATTTATAACAGCAAACTGCAAGATGTAACAATTTTGCTTGGTAAACACAAACTTTAATCCAGATATAAAATATTTGATCGTATTTAAGTAGTATCTTTAAAACAAATGTTTTCTTTTTCAATCCTTCTTTGCAAGGGGCGGCGGGGGGGAGGGGGGAGGGAGATGATCAAGAAAATAATGACTGCTCATTACATGATTTTGACTGAAAATAATGTTGCCTTCCAGAGGAGAGGAATGTGGAAAAGCATCTGCTCCAGGTGAGCCGCCCCTGCGCTCCATTACACTGACCCCAATGCACAGGAAGACGCCGCATCGGCCAGGACCTGGCAGGCCGGAGCGGGACCTGGCCGAGAGACTAACTCTTCGGCCACGGTGGTGCAGCATTCAGTCCAGCTGGTTTTGCCCAGGTCTGTGTGGCTCGGATCATTGAGTGTCATGCCATACACTGAGAGGTCACCAGCTCGATTCTGGTCAGGGCACATACCCGGATTTTCCGGGATTCCCAGAAGGAGGGCACGCAGAAGGCAGCTGATAGATGTTGCCCTCATCAAAATATATATATAAAATCTTTAAAAATAAATCCAGCTGGTTTCCCAGAAATGTCATGCTTCAGTTCTGTCCTTGTAAGTTAAGGACACCCCTATGAAAGAATGTATGCTTCTATAATGATCCCTACCTTTGACCCAAATTTTGCCACATACTCCATGCAAAATGGATGCTTTTCTTCAAATTCAAGTAATTCCAAATTCTTCTCAAATACAAAAGACCATCAAATTCCCAATCTCAGGCACCGGTGGCACCAACCGTGACAACCTTTCTCAAACCTCCACTCTCTCCCCCGGGCCAGCGTGGCTCAGTGGTTGAGCATCAAGGTTGAGCATCAGGAGGTCATAGGTTAATTCCTGGTTGGGTCACGTGCCTGAATTGTAGGTTCCATCGCAGCAGGGGGGCATGCAGGAGGCAGCCAATCAATGATTCTCTCTCACCCTTAATGTTTCTTTCTCCCTCCCTCTCGCTTCCTCTAAAATCCATTCAAATGAATTAAAACAACAACAAAACAAAAAAAAACCAAACACCTCCACTCTCTCCCTATCCTGCCCCTCTCACCCAGCTGTCCACTGGACTTCTTCAAGCTTTCTATAACCTGACAGCACACCATCTATGTCAGCTCTTATTTCCAACTACTCAGTTCCCAGACCCAGACGAAACATTCTTGAAGACAAATACCATCATCATGTCACTTAAATCTCCTTCTTTCCCCAACCTCTTGACACAGTCCTGGATACATTATAAAATCCCTTTAAATTTATTTAGCAAGAATGAAAACAATACTTACTATAGGTCAAAGAATTGAACATAAGTTTATTGTTGGGAGGTACAAATTTAAATAACAAATCATAATACCCATTATAGGAGTAAACCTAAACATGTAATTACCACAGAGCCCAACAATCACACTCTTGGGCTTTTATCTCAGAGAAAGAAAACATGTTCATATAAAAACCTGTACACACGTGTTCATAGCAGCTCCACTTGCAATACCAGCTATCAGGAAAAGCCAAGATGTCCTTCACTAGGCGAATGGTTAAACAAACAGTGGCACACACATATCATGGAATACTATCCAATAAGAAAACGGAATGAACTACGATACGCTCAACAACTTGGGAACGTCTCTAGGAAAATTATGCTGAAAGAATGAAGCTAATCTCAAAAGTCGCAAACTGTATGATTCCATTTATATAGCATATTTTAAGTGACAACATTTTAGAAATGGGGAACAGATTAGTCATTGCCAGGGGTTTCTGGGAAAGGGAGGGATATGGGTATAATTATAAAAGGGCAACAGGAGGGATCCTTGTGATGATGGAACTGGTTAGCATCTTTTCCTTTTTCTATATGGAATGCTTCACACATTTGTGTGTCATCCTTGCTCAGGAGCCATGTTAATCTTCTCTGTATTCTCTAATTACAATTTTAGTATGTGTGCTGCCGAAGCAAACACGAACTGATTAACATTTTGACTGCCGTGGTGTAAATGTGAACCTACACGTGATAAAATTGCATTCGCACAGACGAATGTGCTAAATGCACACACAGACAAATGAGTGCACGTAACACTGGGGAAATCAATGTAAATATCCTGGTTGCCATACTGTACTACAGTTTTGCAAAATGTTATCACTGGGGGGAAACTGAATAAAAGGAGGGGAACTCTCTGTATTATTTCTCACAACTGCATTCGAATCTACCATGATTGCAACAAAACTTTCAGTTAGCAGAGTAGTAAGCCAGCAAAAGTATCTCTAATTAGTAAGATGTATTTATCGAGTAAATACTTGTATGGTGCTTACTAACTGCCAGGTAACATTTTAAGCATAAATGTTAATCCATTGAATCCTCCTAATAACCATATGTGGCCTGTAGTACTATTATTCCCATTTTACAGATGGAGAAACTGAGGTACAGAGAGGTCAAATAACTTGTCCAAAGGACACATAGCATGTAAGTTAATGGACGGGGTCTGATGCCAAGGCAGGAATCTAGATCCAGAACTCTCCCCTTAGTGATCTCTGCATTTCACCCTTGAAGGCTGAAGGCTGCAAGGCAGACTAGATCCTGAATCCTGACAGCGGCTCTTCTAGAAGATTCCCAGAATGCAAGCTGAACATATGATACACCCTTAGGATCATAAAGCTGACCATGACCTTCGCATGCTGTCAACACCAAAGGAAGTAAACAACTTTATAGGAATTAGATTCTAATGCAAAACCTTCCCCTGGGTGGGAGCGCAAACACTTCCAACACTTAAGAGCAACTCGCACAGAGTAAGGGGCTGGAAAACAGAGAAAATGGTTGGGCACATTCGGGAGAGCGTTTCAGAAAGAAAGGGTGAGGAGCCCTACACAGCACAATGCATCTGGGAGCAGATGAAAGGGGAAAGCTGAGACAAGACCATGTAATTGCGTCACGCTTCGCACACCCCTGGCCCTGCTCGCAGGCCCTATCCCGGGTGCACCGTATCTTCTCTGGCACTCCCGGAATGGCCCTGCTCGCTCCCCCCCCCCCCCCCCCCCCCCCCTTATCAGTTTCAAGCCTACAGACTCCTCCACATGCTGGCCAATGCAGGCCCCGGAGACTGAAACCCAGAACCCATGTGGCATTCTAGAGTTGCAGACCTATAGCAAGGCAATCTGGCTTGGGAGATTTTCAGATTATCGAGGGGGGCGGCAGGAATGTCACGGCCCTGTGGGTGGACATGGGGACATCCATCAAAAAGACAACTACCATGAAACCGCAGCCTGCTTTTCCCACTGGAGTGGCTTGGAGCTGGAGTACGTGCATGTGTTTGAATGTGTACAAACCTAAGTTATTTTAGGGAGAAATCATTGCCCAAGGATCAGTGCTAGGAAGGATGAAAAGAGCACTAGGTCCAAACCTTCCACAAGACAAACTCCCAATCACAGGGCACTAATCACGAGGGCTCTGGCTAAGTGATGCTCACAGTATGTTGCCCACAGTCCAGGCTGATACGATGCACCATTCAGAATTAAAGGAATGGATACCGGGGAGTAGGGGCTCGACTTTCTTACAGACATGTCTCGGAGATATTGCAGGTTTGGTCCCGGGCCACCGCAATAAAGCAGGTGTTGCAATAAAGCGAGTCACAACCTTTTTGCTGGTAGATTATCTTGCCTTCAATTTGAAAGAGAAAAAAAAAAAATCAAAACCCACAGCAGAGGAGACCATCAAGCAGCTGTGACGCCCCAATCGGCGCAAACACGTGGATTCAAGGGAGTTCTTCAATCACCCACGGAAAGGAGAAAGAAAACCACATAACCAGACATCCTGAAAAGAGAGACCATGGGCAGACAAAGAAATAGCCCGCACATGAAAGAAGAAGAAAAAAAATCACATCATCTGAGAGGTGCAATAAAACAAGATATGTTGGCACAGCAGTTGATGAAAATTAAGTCCCACTATGAACTCCAGGCTGCGGGAAACTAGGTGGAAATAAAGTTCTTCACATTCTGTAATCTTAAGAAAGAACAGCAGGGAATGGGGTCAGGAGCAGGAAAACGAAGTCACAGCTCACTCTATCCCAGATAACCCCAAACAACCCAGGTCCGTGTGTCAGTGGTCATCTGAAACAGCATTTCCTTTGCAACAAGGACCCGAAAAGTTCTGCTCCCAGATAGAGAGAGAAGTAAACAGAGACTCTTGGGTTGCCCACCCTCCATCGGCACTTCTCCTTTTGGCTGCTGGCATTAAATGCATGAGATCGGGAACCATGCCAGCAGCCCTATGAAGAGGAGACCACAGAATGACACAACATTGGACATAGCCAGGTTGGGGATGAAAGGCCCAGGGCCCCTGAAGACCCCATCGAACCACTAAACCAACCCTGGGCACCTGCTTCAGACCTCTAGCTCAGTAGACGATAAACATCCTGCTGGTTTCAACCGCGTGTGTTGGGTTTTCTGTTGGCAGCCAAACATTTCTTCTTTGGTAGAACTTAGGCCAACAAAATATTTGTTTTCTAGGAGCAACAACTTCTTACTGACTTTGCTCAACAGTTGTATGGGAGTTGCCAGTGTCGCTTCCCTAACTGGCCCAAGGCTGAAACTTGGATGACGCCTGTAGGTCTCTTTGTCCTGGTATCTAAATCTGAAGCCCCTAAGTAACAGAATGTAGCACCTACAACTTCAGCCTGCCTTGTCACCTGGAGATCTGGGTTGATGCCAAGGGCACAATAGGTAAACACAAAGACACAGGGAAAGAAAAAGAAATGTGGGGGGAGGGAGGAGGAGAAGGGGAAGGAGACATATAAGGGGAAAAAGGAAACAAGTGCCCTTTGAGAATGTGTATTTTTTTAAGGGATGCCCTCATGCTTTTCAAAATGAGCATGCTCTGAATAAGAAGCCTCTGTGCGCCTGGTCTCCCACATCACGTGGCTCTGGACAGGCTAAATCCCACCAGTGGAGCCCTGTGGCCACATGGTGCAGACGAGTGGATGACCGATGGGCTTCTTGCATGGGCTGTGCATGACTTGGCGAGGCAGAGCATATTCTGCATTAGCTTAGGTTCTGACATTCTATCATGTTCCCTGTCGAGAGGCCAAGTAGTTGTTGGAACCCTGCACACCAAGTGACATATAACAGAACCTTAGCAAAGGGGACAGCTCTTTGCCAAAGGAACCTTAAACTAAAGGCTCTTCTGGCCTCTCCCATCTCCATCTCCATGGTCTGGTCAGCGGGGCTGGGAGCAGAAGTCACTAAAGGAAGGTCACCATGGTGTGCCAACATCTAAGGTACCTTTCCAAGAGGCAATATCGGGTGTGGGGCGGTGACCTGCCATCAGGGTGCCTTCAGCCATGGGTATCACTGAGTCAGGAAGAAAAGTGAGACAGAGCAGGCAGCCCAGGATGAAGGGGCCATGGCAGAGGCTGAGGGAAAGGCCATCAAAATGACCCTTTCTTATCCCAGCACATGCTATCTTCAGCGATCCTTCTCCTGCACCCCAGGGACACTGTGTCAGGCTGTAAGGGGAGAACCTCAGATGCCACCTCACATGACTCTGCCCAGAATGCCTGTGACCTGGTGGCTGGAGTGTCTGTGGCCTCCTTGAAGGGTGTCAACATTCTCACAAGGACGCTAGGCCTCGCAGACAGGCAGGATCCCTGCAGGGTATCTGCCAGGGAGGCGACTCCCAGGGAGGAGGCTGGCACTGATCTCCAGTGCTTTCCTCTCTGACCCTAGCCTCCAGGTGCTGCCATTTACTGCCTCTTCTCCATTTACTAAGCGCCTGCTGTATGCTCAGAACCATGCAGGGTAATGTCAGGAAATAGAAGACAAGGCCTCTACTCTTAGGGAATGCAATACTGAGCTTAAGCAGTGGGCCTTTTCTTTTTTAACCTGAGGAAGTCAAGGACAGAATGGATTGCTGGTGGCCTGGGAAATATGGTGATAGGCTTTCAGAGGAGGGAGGACCCAAGTTAAAGGGATATACTCAGTAAAGACTTCTCAGAAGAGTCAGACTTGAGCAAAAGATTCTGGTTCTGGTGAGGGCCAGACAAGGAGGAAACAAAGGTGAGGTAGATGACAGCTACATGGAACCACCTTCATCTACAGCACCAGATGTGTGACTGTTATATGGAACAGACTGGCTCAGAGATCAGGAAACTGCCAGCACGATGGCATCCAAGGGGGCAGCAAGAAGTGAGCTCTCAGACAGGAAGTGCCACACATGGGTAGGGTGAGCTTCATGGCAAGCTAACAAACAATGTGTTGTCTTTCTGCCCCTGAACATCTCTGTGTTCCCAACATCTGGTGAGTGCCTTGCTCATGGTCAGTGCTCCATACATACTGATGGGTGAACAAATAAAAAGTATTAAGCACCTTCAGTCATGCTGGAGGCCACAAACCAGAACACAAAACAGTACTTAAAGGTAGGCTGGAGGCCACAAACTCAGATGCCCACAGAGCCAGGCAGGTAACAGAAGTGTAGCTGGCCAGGAGTGAGTGATGAGCAGATGAGTGATGAGCAAAGAATACATGTTCCAACTTTATGGGGGACAGTCCCTACCCAGCTGCAGCCCACCAAGGTACATGAGCCCAGTGTTGCCAGGTCTTTTAATTCTCATGTGAAATCCCCCAATTTTTAAATAATAGCAATGAGTTAAAACCAAAATACATAGTTAGGCATTGGCCAGGTAGCTCAGTTGGTTGAAGCATCATCCCAATGCACCAAGATTTCTTCAAGTATGATCCCCAATCAGGACACATACATTAATTAACCAATGAATACATAAATAAGTGGAACAACAAATCGTTTTTTGGTATTTGTGGAAGAGCCATACACAAGGGGCCAAAGAGCCGCATATGGCTCGAGAGCCGCAGTTTGCCGACCACGGTGCTAGGGGACTGAGCGAGAAGCTTGGGGAGGGGAGAAACATGTGCATGAAGGGATTTAAGATGGGATTCTCTTGCAACCAGCTGGGGAGAC